TATGATCCACCATCAAGCTCCATCACCACTATGAGCCACCATCAAGATCCCTCACCACCATGATCACGATCCGTCACCACTATGATCCACCATCAAGATCCATCACCACCATGATCACGATCCATCACCACCATGATCACGATCCGTCACCACTATCCATGATCAGGAGCCACTACCCACTGCTCGTCTGCGCCCCCTGCTGGTCATGAATGTAACTACTTAGATCTAGTGAACACGAGGGGCGTCAGGACCCAGAGGAGCCGGCCTGGCAGCCAACATGGCGGACCACAACAAGCCCCACGCTGAGCAGAGTCTCTACAGTGAGATCTTAAGGTTCGTCATCGCTTCAATAAGTTCACAACTGTTCATTCAGACACGAGCAGCCTTTCTTCCGTCGCTGTCGCTCAGTGGCTGTCCTCCATTTCTCTCCCTGTCGTCTGAGCGCTACCGTGAACACATGGTGGAACAGAAATGACGGAGAAGCAAAACACAGAAATGAGTTTTGTTGTTAAAATAGAAGGATTTGGGAAAGAATTTGAGTAAATCTGCCTTTTTCGTCAGACTATGGTGAAGTGAGGTTGAGGTTGGTTATTCACAGGGCGTGGACGTAGGGATCATCAATTATTTCATCTTTGAACAGGGAAAAACAACTTTCTTTAAAAAAATAGCTTCCATGAGATGTGACCCACTGACTCCTAATCACATCAGATATTATTGATGACACCATAGACAAGATATCCTGATCAAAGTGGAATTTATTGATGGCCCCTAAATGGAATCCTTGTGATCCAGAGTTCATGTCTGTCCAATTTACAACTTGAAATGAGCTTCACTGCCTTGTTGACAGTGGGTCACCATATTTTGACTCACCATTCATAATGTTTTATTGTCACACCGGTTATACAAGTCTCATTGTTTTGAACTTCCAGCCCGTCTGAGCTGTTTGCAGCTCGTTCCAGGAGTCACAAGATCCCAGTGAGAGGACCGAAGGACTTCTTCCCTGACGGCTCAGACGAGCAGAGACAGAGGCTTGAGCAGAGTCTGACCGAGCACTGGAGCCTCCTATCAGAGGAGAGAGTGGAGAGGCTGTGAGTAGGCATCTGTCCATCCTCGGATTTCTCCTTTGTGAAGCCTTCATTGAGGCTCTGCATTATCTGAAAGTATCCTACATGAGCTCTGTTGTCAACCATGCAAAGCGACAAGGAACGGTTACTGAGTTTGCCAAAAAAAAAAGATTTGTACCGAACTCCTGGATATTTTCCTGTATGTGAGAACGCAAATGTCCGAATCAGTTGCTCCGGTCATTTTTCTGAACTTTTGTTGCCAGCTTGAGTAAAATGTCCAAATTAGACCATGTGAATATACAGAAGGATAATGTCTGGAAAATCCACAGAAAGGGAGTGGGGGTGTTGTGATGTCATAAATGCAGAAAATGCAGACGAACATGTCAACTTGGAAACACACGAGGTCAGAGAGCTATAGGGCAAAATGGGGCCAGTGTCCATGTGCTGTAAAGAAAAAAACGGGATTTCTTTTCGTATATCAGATGCATCATCAGCGTCATTGTTCACATGCCTGCTGTGTACTATAATGGTTCTATGCATATAACTGAAGTATTCTACTCGAGGGTGCACTGCAGAACTCTGACCATAGTGAAAAGCAAGTATATCTCAGGCCTAAGTGGTTTTCAAGCCTGTTGTGTTACATTACATTCTATTACATGTCATTTAGCTGATGCTTTTATCCAAAGCAACTTACAATAAGTGCATTCGACCAGCAAGAACCATGTAAGTACATAACAAAGTACAAATTGCTACATGCAAGTGCAATATATAAGTGCAATGAGGAGCTTGTTCCACCATTTGGGAGCCGGGACAGCAAACAGTCATGATTTTGTTGAGTGGCTAGGGGACAGTGTTGAGTGGAGCTCTGACTGCGTAGTGCCACTGACTGAACTGGAACACAACTGAACAGTGGATATTTCACTGTCAATAATGTAAGAGGATACACTGACAGGAAGAGTCCGGTTGTGCTGCACTGACATGGAATCCATGTTTTCTGTTTTTATTTTGCTGCAGAGGAAACTTAGTGAAGGGCACATGGATTCCACACGACCAGATTGTGGAGCTTCAGTCTCCAGCTGTGAGTATGTTAACACACAGTAGAACACATGACATGACCAGTTGCATACAGTGGTCATGTGATTGCAGCTGGAAGTCGAGTCATTACTGATAAGAACCAATCAGGGAGAGAATGTGGACATCTGTGTCATCGTCTACAAACTTCTTCCTGTTTGTCCGTTCAGTCGACAACGCAACCTTAGAGTTTTCAAACTAAAACTCAAATAAAAAAATAGATTTTCCAATGTTTTTAATGATATATGCACTTTTATTTGTCAGGGAAAGTTTTGGCAGACGATGGGATTCTCTGCCAATGGCAAACAGTGTCTCCTCCCTGAAGAGGCTCTCTACCTCATGGAGTGTGTGAGTGGCAGATAAAACCTGGTGTTTTTTTCTTCAGCAATATTGTAATAACAGTCAAGATATACGTTTGACCTCTAAACTTTGTGTGAACAGGGAAACCTGCAGGTGTTTTATCAGGATTTGCCGCTTTCCATTCAGGACGGTTATGAGAGATTTCTGTCATCAGCCACAGTGAGCCTCCATCAGTATCAGGTAAAGCTGTCAGTCCTACTTAAAGGTTCAGTGTGTAGAATTTTGTAATATCTAGTGTTGAAGTTGCATGTTGCAGCTGAACACCCCTCAACTGACCCTCTCCTTCCAAACATGTA